GCTTTGTCATGATATAATTTACATACCATACCATTCACTCCTTTAAAACATACAATTCAAATAAGTTTTACAATAGTCACAGAGTTGTGTGACCATTGCTACAATCTAATTTGATTGATTGATTGATTGATTAGGGATGGGGTCTCGCTCTGTGCCCAGGCTGGAGTGCAATGGCATGATCATAGCTCACTGCAGTCTTGAACTTCTGGGTTCAAGTGATCCTACCACCTCAACCTCCTGAGCAGGCAGGACTACAAGCGCACATCACCTCACCTGGCTAATTTTTTTCTTATTTTTTGTAGAGACAGAGGTCTCACTGTCACCCAGGCTGGTCTCGAACTCCTGGCCTCAAACAATCCTACCCCGCCTCATCTTCCCTAAGTGCTGGGATTATAGGCATGAGCCACTGCACCCAGCCTACAATCTAATTTTAGAACATTCTTGTCACCTCAAAACCCTGTGTCCATTAATAGTCATTCCCCATATTCCTACCTACACCCCACACCCAACCTTTGGCAAAAACTAATTTACTTTCTGTCTCTATAGATTCACCTCTTTGGGAAATTTCACATAAATGGACTCATACAAGATGTTACCTTTTGTGGCTGGCTTCTTTCACTTAGCATGATGTTCTCAAGGTTCATCCATGTTGTAGTATATATTGATACTTCATTCCTTTTTACAACTGAAAAATATTCCATTCTATAGATATAGCACATTTTATTTATCCACTTGTCACTTGATGAAGAGGAGCCATTTGTCTAAAGATTCCTCTTTGTTTTCCTTTCCAACTCCCAATCAGAAAGGGCACCCGTAGATCTGGGTTCAGTAGCACACACCTGTAGTCCTAGCTACTTGAGAATCTAAGCCAGGAAGGCCCCTTGAGCCTACGGGTTCAGGTCCAGCCTGGGCAACATAGTGAGATCCCATCTCTAAAAGGGAAAAAAGAAAGGACATCCCTGAAGATACCCAGACAGTGTGCCCCCAGGCCACCTTGAGCTTCCAGTCCCCTCTGGTAGGATCTGATTTTGGGGCACACTCCAGCAAATCCTCCAGGTTGACTCTTGGGCTGATCCGAGAGCTGATACAGGGAAAATTTTTTCAAGTAGTGATTTCTGGCACCTAAAGATTGTCATTGTCAAGGCTATGAAGGAGCAGGAATGCTGCTGTGGTCTGAATGTTCCCCAAATTCCTACTGAAACTTACTTGCCAATGCAGTAATGTTAAGAGGCGTGGCCTTTGGGAGGTGATGAGGTCAGATTGGTGTCTGCCCTTGTGAATGGGGTCAGAGCCCTTTTGGAACCAGTTCACCCCTTCTGCCTTTCTGCCTTCCACCACCTGAGGATGCAAAAGCAGATGTTACCAGACACTGAATCTGCTGGCACCTTGATCTCCCAGCACTGTGGGAAATAAATTTCTTCCTTTATAAATTACTCAAATGTACTTTGTTATAGCAGCAGAACCAGGCTAAGACAAATGTCAAGAGTTGCCCTTTGGGGCTCCAGGGCCTTGGGTCTACCTCAGTCCCCTCCCAACCAAAGCCACCCTAGAGAAGCACACAGTCTGAGTAAAAATGCAAACTCAACTCTGCAGCACGACCCCGAGCCCAGGAGCCTCTGCTAAGTTGACCTTCTCTCTTTGGCTTTGGGCAGCTTCCTGCTCCTTCCAGGATCTCACCTACAGTCACTGCCACCTGGAGCCTGGTGGCCAAGACCCCTCAGAAGGGGTGACTGGATAGAAGATGCAACAATCAATACATCAAGATGCATTCACGTTGTGCCTGCTCAGTCATCAGCCAGTGGGATTCCATAGACTACACTGTCCCTATCCCATGTTCCCTGTGACATGTTCAGGTGGAGCTGGGTTTGGCAGCAGACTTTCATTTAATCTTCGTTGAGCATGTTAGGCCCTGGGGAGACCTCCGGGAAGGTTCACTGCTCTGGCCTCTGCGTTCCACGCAGTCTGTGTCTGGCCCTTTCTCCTCCGTGAGGAGGGCTCCAGGGACTGGCCCACCTCACTTCCCATGGGATTCCAGGGATGAGGAGGAAGCGTTAACCGCGATGAATGACAGCAAATTCGGGTTCAAGGAGGCGGGCTGGATGACGAAAGCCTCAGAGAGGCAGCTCTTCCTGTTCACGCCGTGTCGTGGGGAAATGCACATGCAAGTGGGGGCACTCAGTGGTGTCGTCCTGACCTCCACTTTCTTAACCCTGGCGAAGCTGTGAGAGGAGATGTCCTCAGCCTGTCCTAAAATCCCAGCAGGAGGATGACAGATGCTCCTAAGAAAGAAGTATCTAGGATGGGACAAGGCCCCAGGTGGCAATCAAGCATTTTTTCTGTGGTCCTTAGGGTGGCAGACCTCTCTCCACGAGTGGAGACGTTGCCCCCCTACACCTCTGGCTGCGTCTAACACGTGGGGACATCTGAGGAATGGTCCCCATGTGCCTTGAGGAGGTGTCCTCTTTCTGAGGCTCAGCTCATCTGTGCTATCCTGTGTTGCCACTAGATGGTGCCAGACACCAGCAGCTAGGGATGAAAGATTTGGGGCCAGAGGGGGTAAAGGCTGTCATTAAGGGTCCCCCATCTTGAAGGTATGTCCATTTCACCAGATTTTAATTTAACTCTCTTAGAATCCATTTTTCTTATAGGTAAATTATTCTCATAAGTAGATTATTTTTATATTTATGAAGAACGTATTCCTGAATATAAAGAATACTCACAAATATGTTTTTCTTAGCCCCTCCCAGCTCCCCTCTGTCTGCCCTCCTCTCTTCAACAACAGCAGTCTAAGCTGAGGCAAAGACCAACTTTGCATTCCTCAAAATTCTGCTATGAGAAAATAAGGATGGTCTCAGACCGAAAAGGCATGATGTTACATCTCTGATCAAAGAACAAGAGAATTCCCAAGCCAGTACAGAACAGGAGACTAGGGTACAGGACACAAGTACAACAAAAAAATGTATCTAAGAGATTGCAAAAGTGACAAAAACAAACATGACAATAAATTAATTATTGACTCTTAGTCTTTCCAGTTAGTAAAACATACAGTTTCCAACTGTACATCAGTATTTGCATAATGAAAAAGAAACGAAATGGTTCAATTAAAAAAAATGAGAATGGATCCAATTAGATTAAATTGCAGTGGCTGGTGTGTCCGTGAGTGCCATGAGGCATCCCCAACCGTATGTACAGCCACCTTCGCTTGCCTCTGCTGCCCTGAGGCACCTGCCTCCCCCAAGCCGGCTCTGCTAGCACAGAGGGGGGCACACTTTGGAGAAGGCCTCGCAAAAGGTCAAGACCAGGCAGCAGGGAGTGGCACCTTGAGATCCAAAGAACAAGGATGGAATCCTGGACACAGAAAGGAACTTTATATCCAGGACCTGAGCCTGAAACGAGGAGAGAAAGAGACTCATGGACTGCAAGAAGGTCACACATCAGCAGAGCAGGTGGCACTGTCCACAAAAGGAGACAAAAGCAAAGAAAGATCCCTGTAGGGGGCCTGACCTGGCCTGAAGGGATCCTGGAGTGAAGATGTTCTGAGCGCCCTGGGCAGGGATGGGGGCAAACGCAGAACGAGCCCTCGAGGAGGGCAGGCCCCTGGGCCTCAGCAACCACAGTCCTCCTGGGGCTTCTGGGAAAGAGTGGGATGAGATGTACTTGCACATTCTCCTAGACTAAGAATTAAGGAGGAGAAGAGGCAGTGGGACCAGGAACCTGCCTTTACGGGAAGCTCCCAAGCCCTGGGTCCAGGTGCAACCACACGGTCAAATATTTGACCTAGGGTCAAATATTTGACATAAAGCCAATGGGACCAAATTTCAGAAATGAGAGTTGCAACCAGACCCTAATAAGCAGTCTTAGCAACAGAGTGTCCCCACCCCATTTCGGTTCACAGCCCCTTGCTGCCTCCCTCCTCCAGAACAGCGCTCTCCCTGCCCAGACCCCAAGGAGTACCTCTGGCCCCTTGTTCAAAGAGACCCTGAAATCCACTTTCTCCCCCAAAAAAATGCCCTGGTGGGCGTGGTGGGGGACACCAGTCTCATTCCTCCCCCACCCAGACATAGCCTGGTCCTTGCCCTCCTCCCTGAGTCCCCACCCAGGCAGAGAAGCTGACTGAAAGCCACAGCAGAACACCACGCCACACACCTTGGTTCTTTCAGTTCACGCTTTTATTCTGAAGCCAGCAGTCTGGTGTACGGTTGCCGTCCAGTCTGAAATCCATGTCCCCTTCAGCCCCTGCACTGCTCCCTCCTGTCCCTTCTTGCTCTCTGCAGCCTGGCAGAGCACTACCTGTCTCAAGGTCACGACCTGCTCTCTGGGGCTGGTCCTTGGAAAGGAGCTGTTTGAGGCAACTCCCCAACTGCTTTCTAAAATGCCAGTATCTGATGGCATGTTAATGGGGAGGCAGTGAGCACTGGGGGCTTCATTGGCAAAGTGTTAGGAGGGGCCTTAGAGTCACTGCAATTCTGGCCTGGTGGGCTGGCTAAAGGTCACAGGTCACAGGACACAGGCTTGCTGAGCCCAGAGCCTTCAGGAGGCTGAGTGACCTCCCTAGCTCCCATACCTGCCTTGAGATGACTGTCCACTACCGTCAGAGAAGAGCTCACCTTGGGCCTGTAGTCTAAAGTTAAGGAATTAATCAGTGAAAGGAAGATGAGCAACCCTCAGGTCGGTCCTCTGACTCTGAGCAAAGCCCCTGAGGGCCTGCGCTCAGGAACGACTAATTCAGGGAGAAAGCTCGTGCACGCAGAGGGGCAGGGCCCAGGGAGAAGAGCAGGTCACCCAGGGAGAGGAGCCGATGTCCTTTCTGCCATTTGCAACCACTCAGGCATCCTGAACAGAGAAGAGAACCAGGCTGGCCACCACCCAGGGCCACAGCCCCAGGCTGGGATGCCCTCAGGCTGGCCTGGTGGGCCGTGTCACGGTGGGAGGTACGGGCATATGTGCGTACTACGCGTGTGAGGGATCAGAGTAAGCAGCGTATAGAGTTGGGGGAAGCCGAGTCGCATGGTAGAAATAAAAGTCCAGAAGAGCCCCCGACAGGCTGTGCTCAGGAAGAGGCCCAGTGGGTATCCTGAGACCAGGAAAGCTCCTAAAAGTTGATGTTCTTCAAGTTCATAGAGCAGCGGTACCTGCCGTCCAGGAACCTGGAGCACAGCAGGTTGGGCAGGCAGGGACAGGTGTGGTGCTGCCGTTTCCTGAGGAAGGGGATCTGGGGAGAGAAGAGCGACAGAGGGAGGTGGAGCCCTGGCAGGAGCCTCCGGTCAGCCCAGCCCCGCAAATGTCTCACCTGCACACGCTCCCTCTCCCCTCCACGGAGCACAGCAATAGTAGCAAGTGGAGATGGGGAAACAAGGCACAGAGCGGCCAAGCAATGTGCGGAGATCACGTAGCTAATGTGCGGAGGAGCCAGGGTGTGAACACAGGCAATCTGGCTCTGGAGCCCCAGCACACGTACACCTGCACACACGCACACAAACATGCACACACACACACATGCACGCTCACACACACACATGTTGACTGAATACTTATATGCTCAGCACCATGGTAGGTCCCAGGACACAGCTGTGAATAGGGTGGCCACCCCAGAGGAGTGCTGAACCATTGGGTTATCCTCAAGGGAGTTTGTATAGGAGCACAGGTCCAGTGTCAGACTGCCTGGGTTCAAATCCCAGGTCTGCCACTTCCCAGCCGTGTGACCATCAGCAAATTATTTAGCCACTCTGTGCCTCAGCTTTATTATCTATAAAACAGGTTAATAATGGCACCTGCAACATATAGTTGTAAAGAAGTTACAATTATCTATTTACAAAAAGCACTTAGCATGCAGAGCGGCATGCAGGAGGCACTCAGCACTAGTTTTCATTATCACTGCTGTGCCCACTGGGAATATGGGTCTGCAGCTGAACCACCTCTCATGCCACAAGGTCAGGACGACAGCTGAGCTGTCCAGCCCCCTTTGCCACCTGCTGGCCTCCTCATCCCCCCAGGCTGGGGCGGGGGATTGGGGGGCCCCGAGAGTGGGAGGAAGCTCCCTGGAGGATGCTCAGGGCCCAGAGCAGCACTGAGAGCTTAGGCGCAGGTTGAAAGTGGCTGGAAGCCTGAGCCTGAGCCAGGCCCCATCCCCCGGCTGCCACTGCACACCCTGACTGTACAGAAGCCAAAGCCCTGTGGACCCTGTTATGTCACCTGGGCTGGGAGCTGGCAGTCAGGGATGGGAACAGGGCAGGAGCTATGTGCTTAGGGCACAAAAGTCAGTCCTTCCCCAAAGTGTGTGCGCTGGTACCTCACTTGCCTCACTCTAGTCCTGACCCCCTCTGGGAGGCCTTTGCAAGTCTCACTTAATGTTCTAGAAGAGAGCATCCAACAGAGCAAAGGGCTTTTGTCACTGTTTCAAAATCTGAATTTGTCAGATCCCTAAGAGACTTCAGGGGTAGTTACTCTGCTGCCTCGTGGTATACATGAGGTCCAGACGAGTTAAGCTACTTTGCCCAAGACCAGCAGCAAGTGAGGGGCTGGGGGTGGCCAGCCCCCGGTCTAACAGCCTAGGAGATTGGTAGCACCACTCCACCAGGCTGCTCCCAAAAAGCCAGGGGGCAGAGCCCAACATCGGTGAGATAGACCTAGAGTTGACGTCAGAAAACTGCAGTTCCAGTCCCAGCTCTGTGTCACTGGCAGTGTGTCTTGAGCAAGTCACTTGACTTTGCTACCTCGGTTTCCCCACCATTGCCCAGGGTTGCTGTAAGGATCACGTTAGATCAGTGGTTCTCCAGCCTGTGCTAGAAGGTTGCAGGCGGACAATGTCTGGCCCTGTACAAATAAATGTCAGTGTATTCTACGTAGGGCACTAAGTAAGGCAGGCGCCTGGGGGTGGCGGGGCAGCAGCACCTCCGTGGCTGCCTGTTTCCCCAGACAGGCTGGATCAGCAGTCAGGGACGGGAGCTGCCCTGTCCCGCACTGTCCTCTCTCTGGAGCCTCCCTGGCGAGAGCAAGACCCCCGGACCTCCCCATCTGCTCAGCTCCGGGCTCGCCCACATGCGCGCACCCGCGCGGCGCCTGCGCAGTACCTTATGGCTGCTGGGGTGGCACTCCTCTCCTTCCCGCCCCAGTGGGGTGCACATTCGCAGCCCTCGCAGCCACAGGCTGATGGCACAGCAAGTGCCTGCGCCACACTGGACATCCCGCTCACAGGCCTGGGGGGGGGGGGTCAGGAGAGGGGAGAGAAAAGGGGACAGCCCATTAGTGCCACCCAAAAGAAACCAGAAGGGAAAGGTATATCCAGAAAGCCCTGGTTAGGATCGGGGAAGGAGATGCTGACAGTGTCCCCACTGGCCGCAGCCTAACAGGACCCCTCGGGCTGAGCCTTACTGCCCTGCTTCTCTCACGGGCGGGGGTGCAGGGCCCAGTGGCATCCCACCTGGAACTGAGGAGGCATCCAAGCTCCTCTGAGGCCACTCAGGAGGGAGACAGTCCTCCTTTTCTGACAAGTCATAGCTTTTCTAGGGCTAGGAGATGCTCGATGGATGCTGGTGGAATTGAATTAATTAGAATTCTGTGACAGGGAGAGGCCCTGGGGGCCCCAATCCCTGGGTGGTCAGGGATGAGTTGCCTTGGGCCAGGGTTCTCCAACCCTGACCCAGCACCCATGGTTGAAGCCTCCTCCCTCTGCCTGTGGGCACCCCCTCAGCCCTCAGAGGCCAGCCTCATCCAAGGGGCCAGCACGCCAGGCACAGGTCCCTCTCCCCAGTGCTTGTCTGTTGACCTCCCTGATCCCTAGAGAGGGATGGACCTTCTGGCTTGGGCTCCCAGACAGGGGCTGAGTGGCCCTGCCTGGTTTCTAGAAGGTGCCATTTGTAAAGACACACAAGCCCACTCTATACAAAAGTGAAGGTCAGAGAAAACAGAACTCTGAACTGCTCCAGACACAAGTGGGGACCTGATGGGGAAGCATCCAAACTTTCCACCACTCCCAGAGAAGCTCTGTGGCTTTTCTGAGCTGGGATCCGAAGCTGGGCTTTGGTTCCCTTTTCTCCAATGGAAGTCCACAGAGCACCTTCTGGATGCCCGTGTGGGGTGTGGCAAGAAGCTCCCAACTTGCTCAGCCCCGAGAAGGGAAGAGGGCATGCCAAGTCCCCCATCACCCAGAGGATGTGCAGGCTGCCGTCGCCGGGCTGTGCCAGTCTGCAGCCCAGCAAGGGCCCATCCCACCCCCTTCCTAGCCCCTGAAATCTCAAGGTTGGGAGAAGTAGACTCCACTTGACTCTTCCTCTCCCACACTGTGGGCACTGTTGCCCCACTCTGGGAGGAGGGACCCTACAGCCCTGAATTTGGGGACACAGCAATACCTCATTTCAAAAAGAAAGGAAAAGAAGAGAAAGTTTTCCTTTCTTTTCCATTCTGTGCACAATACAACTAATCCAATTCCAGGACTTATTTAGCATTTCTCTACATTTTCATTCTCTGTGTAAAAAGCAGAAGGATGTTGAAATAAAAGTTAATTTCTCCTCTTTTTTTTTTTTCTAGTTGCTTTCATCTGGAAAGTTCTCAGGTAAAATGATACTTCCTGTTTTAATAAGAATGGTCCTGCCCCTACAACACAATGTGTGCTCCCATTTAAGGATGGTTTGGGGTAAAGCCAAACATCTGAGAGAAAACCATGATCTCTGTGTTTTGAACACTGAAATATACAATACCCCTCACTGAACCTCTGCTAGGAGATGGGCTTTCTACTTATTATCTGGACATGTGCTTTTGGGTACACTCAGCCAAATGTTGATGTCGCCCCTAATCCTCTCAGTACTAACTGGGCACAGAGTGAAAGAGTTTCAAGATATCCTTTCTTATGAGTGGAGAAAGCAGAGATTAAGCTTACGCAACAGAAGCTAATAAGCTTACTGCCTTTAATTAACCTTCCTGACTTTAATTAAGTCCACACGCTATGTAAGTTGAAATTGACTTATGAACCAGACTGTATATAAAAGCCAAAATTTACACTAAAGATAAACTGGGTATGCCAATCCACTTTATAAAGGAATTCGTTATTACACAACAGGAATCTTCATTTTACCAAAGGATTGAACTTCAAAATTTTCAATGCTCTCCTAATGCATTTAAAACAGGGTTTGATTTATACACCGTTTCTCAAAAGCGGATTCTGTTTAGTAGAGTGAGGTCTAACTAATCTGAAAATCACATGCAATCGCTCTCTGAAGTGCTGTCTGATGGCTAACTCCCCATTCCCCTTGGTTTTTGTGCATTGAGCCAACAGAGCTGCCTGTGTGTTCCTGGGCTCACCTCTCCTGCAGACCCTGACATCTTCCCCAAACCCAGGGCATAAAGAAAGTCAGACAACTTACCCCCGTGATCACAGCACAGTCGGACACAGTTACTAGGAGGAGAATGATTGAGACTTGCACGGCACCTCTCATGGTCACTTAGGTGAAGGCAAAGCACTGCCCACTCCGACGCCTCTAGCTTCCTCCTGCTCGGCCCTGTGCCCGGCAAGCTAGGAGGCCAGGCTCTCCTGCACCCCCACCTCCTCCCAGATGTCTACGGTCAGGAGCCAGGGCTGCCTGTGGATGCCTCCTCTCTGCTCTTGCTTTCCCCGTCACCAATGTTATTCAGATGATCTCAGAGGCGAAGATGAGACCTGAATGCCTAACAATGTTAAATCACCATCAAAACCAATAAAATTGGATACTTGGGGGTGGGGGGGGGGCTTTGACAGTTGCTCTAACTCTCCAAAGAACGCAGTGATTCAGACATTTATGTACATTTCACACGATGTTCTTTTCTGCCTCTGGGCATCCTTCTATCCTGCTTGGGGTGGGGGTAGGGGGCACTTTGGTAATGAATTAAGGGATTTGCAACATCACCATCTATCCTTCCCTGCACCAAACCATGCAACCCATACAGGATTATTGGTTGCCTCACACTCAAGCCAACAAGAATCATCTGAGTATTTACCATGGGCTCAACACTGACCGAGGTAGCTGAGAAGACACAAGAGGATAAGGCGATATACCCCCTGGTCCTCTAAAAGGTGAAAATTCCAAAGAGGTGACATGAAGCAATGAGGAACAACAGACCAGGCTTGTGGAGTTGATGCCCATGAGTGGCACACATAGGATTTGTCCTCTAACAGGCTCAGGACAAACAGCAGCAAGTGTCACTTGCCACAGGAACCAAAGGGCAGAAGATTGGCAAACACTCTCTCACCATCCTGGACTGAGGTGTGATGAAAAGGGACCAGGAGCCATATCGCTGGCCTTCCTGCTTATGGGTTGAGCACGAGAGCGGCCTTGTGTGTGCGTGTGCAAGCACAGCGGGCTCAGATGCCAGTCTGGTGGGAAGTCAACTCTGGCACAGCCCCTCCTGCTGGGAGCCACTGGCCCCAGCCCTCTCCGTGCCAGGCATCCCAGAGAGCTCCTCAGTCCTTTATCAGACTGTAGCCGGTTCCGTGAACCCCTACATGATTTTTATAATCCTCTCCTTGAACTAACTACTTGACCCATTTCTGTTTCCCAGAAATGAGGTACTCCTGGCCTCAAGTGATCCTCCTGCCTTGGCCTCCAAAGTGCTGGGATTTTAGGCATGAGCCACCACACTTGCCCGGAAATGGTGGGTTTCCTACAAGACCAAGGAGTTGAGATTCTGAAGGTCCCTGGGCAGACTTCCTGACACCAAGATTCACCATCCCCCACAACCTGCCCCCAGTGCATGTAGCTTCTTGCGAGATACACCATGACCTGCCCCCCACAATATCCCTTTGTCGGGAAGTGGGATTTGAGGCAGCTTCTCCTGTTCACCCAACAAGACATCTGTCATATTAAAAATTCCTTTCTTCCTTGGCAATCCTCATTATCTCAATAATCGGATTTTTGTGCAACAAGCAACTGGACCTAGACTGAAACCCCCTTGTCATTTCAGCAACAAGACAACCCAACTTCTCTCCACAATAACAAAAGCCAATATTTCCCAAGACATGTTTTGCAATATATTAATAGGTGTTACACACACACACATAAATAAATAAATAAATAAATAAATAAATAAATAAATAAATAAATACTACAGTCAAGGCCGGGCACGGTGGCTCACGCCTGTAATCCTAGCTCTCTGGGAGGCCGAGGCAGGCGGATTGCTCGAGGTCAGGAGTTCGAAACCAGCCTGAGCAAGAGCGAGACCCTGTCTCTACTATAAATAGAAAGAAATTAATTGGCCAACTAATATATATAGAAAAAATTAGCCGGGCATGGTGGCGCATGCCTGTAGTCCCAGTTACTCAGGAGGCTGAGGCAGCAGGATTGCTTGAGCCCAGGAGTTTGAGGTTGCTGTGAGCTAGGCTGACGCCATGGCACTCACTCTAGCCTGGGCAACAAAGCAAGACTCTGTCTCAAAATAAATAAATAAATAAGTACTACAGTCAAAGATTTGGGAAACATTGAGTTATAGAAGTTAAACCTTTTAAGGCTTATTTTTTTTTTTTTGCAAGACTTTTCAGGGCCTTTCATATGCTAACAAGTATTTGAAACACTAATTGAGAAATGCAATGTGTACTATTTCACAAACAAATGCATCCACAAAACATTTTCAAGTGTCTCAGGGATTAGGGCTCCACAAACAAATGTTGACAGGCGTTTATGAGGACAGAGAGAAAGATGAACTAGCACAGTGGCTGGAAGCTAGGTGCCCCAGGCAGAGTCTCTGACTTCTGATTGATCGCTCACTAGCTTTGTGACTGGAGAATACTACCAATCTCTCCAAGCCTCAGTTTTCTCATCTACCACATGGGGGTAAGAATAGCACTTCCATCATGGGATTTTGTGAATATTCATCTATTTATTTATTCGTTGACCATATATTTATTGAGGGCCTACCTCATCAAAGGCACTGTTCTTGGTGCTGGGAATATAGCAGTGAACAAAACAAGGTCCCTGTCTTCATGGAATCTCTGCTCTAGTAGGGGAGACAGCTAACAGACCAAGAGATTTGTAATAAAACGGCCAACTGCACTGAGGAAGGCAGAGAAGGCGACAGAGCTTGACAGTGGGTAGTATTTTAGATGGGGTAAGCATTTTTCTGAGAAAACACTTGAGCAGAGGCCTGATACAGTGCCTGAGAGAGCCAGGCAGAGCCTGGGGGAAAAGCCAGCACAAAGGCCCTGCGGCAGGGCTTCTTGGCCATTTCCAGGGGAAGCAGGAAGTGAGGGGAGCCTGGGGAAGGCAGGAAGGGGAGGCAGTTGGAGCAGGAGCCAAAGGCCAGATCCTGCCAACCTTGTGGGACATAGTAGGGACCTGACTCCAAGTGCACTGGGAAGCCCGGAGAGTACGGAGCAAGGGAGGGGCAGGATCTGATCGACATTTTGAAAGGATCCCTCTGACTGCAGGTGGAGAATCATGTGACACGATGCATGTGAAATGCTTAGCACAACGCCTGGCACACAGCAGCATGGGCTAAAAATGGACAATTTTTATCACAAACAGATAGGCCTATCTACCTCACTGTAAAGTTCTTCTGCAAGGTGAGAATCAAAATAATGAGTCCAGCAGGTGCGGTGGCTCCCACCTGTAAGCCCAGCTACCCAGGAGGCTGAGACAGGAGTCCAAGACCAGCCTGGGCAACATAGCGAGACCCCATCTCTACAAAAATAAATAAATAAATATTAATGAGTCCGTAAGGCCCACACTTAAACTGTGACACTGAGCTGAGCAGGGAACTGAAACACCCCAGCCTTTCAGGAACTTCCACTCTGGGAGAAAAGCGAGTAGGGAGAAGGGAGCACTTTGCTGGGGAGAAGGGAGCACTTTGCTGGGGGATTGGAGGAGCACACGGACATGGCTTGTGGGCTCTGGGCGCCCTGCACAGACTGCCCCACCTCACGGGGGTCTCCTTCGAGGAGGCAGTGTTAGAGAATGGCTGCTTCTCAGGCTAACACCCCCATTCACTACCCCTGCTCCCACCCCAACCCTCCCCAGCGTCCCCACAACACACAAAACTACCCCATGTGGTTGCAGTGAGGAGTGGGAGCGAAGAACACAGTTGCAAAACAAAACCGAGACAATGACTGAAGGCATTTTATTTCTCCTGAATGCTGGCGCTTGAGGAAAAGCCAGTTCAGTTAGAGGAGGGTGAGGGACAGACGGTGACTTGGTGGAAATCTCAGCAGAGACTGTGGGGAGCTGCAGGGATAAGTGGCCCCGGTGCTTTATTGAGTAGTTCCACGACACAGACACTCCCGGGGGCCTGCCACGCGTCAGCACCAGGAACTCACGGTTCTTGGCTCTCATTCCTCTCTGGGACTTAGAGCTCTCCTGCTCCCGTGCGTAGGCGGGTGTCAATAGCAGTCGCTGCCGTTTGGCCACAGTGAGGGCTACTTGTCGGCTGCGGGGCTGTGGTGTGGAAACCGAGAGTGGGACGGAGAGGAGCACCCTGAACGAGGCAGGCAGGAACTGGAGGGGACAGAGGAGGCAAGTCGGCGGGGACGTGAACTGAGAAGTGGGGGAGAAGGGTGAAAATGCTGAAAATACACTTGGTTCCCTCGAGGGAGGAGACATTAGTGGAGAAGCCGGGGGCACAGCTTTCCCAGACTCCTTCACGCCTGCACCAGGAACAGGGGGGCAGTGGGCAGCGTGCTGCTGCGTGTCCATACAGGAGGAGTATGTGCAGATCACGCCTCATAACTTGGGCCTGGCCCCTATTCTCTGCTTCAGTAGGTGCCAATGTCACCACTTTCCAGGACTGTTCATACAGACGTGTGTGTAGCAAGGGCCACTCTCTCGGCCTACCTTCACGGCTTCAAGATAAAGCGCCCCCTTCTAGCAGAGGTCTAGCCCAGGTTGCCCCCTGAGGCCATTCACCTTCAGCCATAGAATAAGTGTGACCCGGCCAAGGAGGCCAGCTCTGAGGCCCCTCCCAGCTCTGCCTTGGGGCTATGGCCATTGCTCTGTGAACTAGAAGGGGACTCCGGGTCCAGGGGGCTTCACTGCTCCTGTCTGCGTGGACTATCTTACGTCAGTATTTGAGCACGTGTTTTAAAATGTGCTCACTTTGTCATTGGTTCCTGGCTAATGATTAAATAAGAGTTGACTTCGACCCGTTTCAAAGAAATGAAGAAAGCAGTAGAACAAAGGAAACCCAAGCATCCAGACCGGTTTATATCCTGGGCTCACAGCCCTCCAGGGAGTTCATGAAGAGAATTCAGAGAATCCCTGAGCTTGGGTAGGGAGAAAAATTACACCTTTATTTTCACCAATTTCTAAATAAATTTTTGACATTTAACATTTTCTTCTAACTATACACTACAAACCACAAAAGTATTAATAGTACCTGCGGCTTTGTCACTAGGAGAAATTATAAGTGTTTTAATCACACCACTATTGCGGCAAATAGGTCAAAATATCACTTCCGCTCATTACTACACTGAAAC